AACCCAGGCAAAGATGTTATTCCTATTAATGGTCTATGAAAGAACATCTTATAGCATTTAAGGAAGCCTTACTTAAAAGAACTGACGAATCTTTTTATTGATCAAATCATTATTTTGTAATGGAACCACTGCCTGATCCACCTGCTTAATATAGTCAGGTAAAGTCACAGGACATGGCCTCTTGTCAAACAGAACCGACAATCCTGGCATATTGCTGCTAAGGGGGAGAAAGGAAAGTAGGCTTCAGTTACTGAGCACTTAGGGTTTACCTCCGTTAAACCATCCAATCTTCCCCAAAATCCTATAAAATAGTATTAACATCTTTTTTTTTAATAAGGGTACAGGTTTGGAAACTTGTCTGTGATTACACAGAAAATAAGTTGTAGTTCCAGAACTGGACAACAGATATAACTGGCCCCTTCCACTCTTACTGCATGCAGTAAACGATCTAGATTCTAGATCTAGATCTAGATTCTAGAGAAATGTTCTCTAGAAAAGAATATCACTGTACATACTGCAAAAATCAAAGTATTAATCCAAAGAAGCCATAAGGGCTTTCTAATTTTACTGCGATATTCACACAAAATAGATAATAATTATCAGTTAAATGAATAAATCTAAAGTTGTTCGTTGTTGAGGAATAATCAATCATAAGTTCTTGGCCTGGATTCTCTTCTCTTTAGTCACACATTAGGCTACTGGTCTCAATATCTTAAGCTCTCCTTTAGTAAATCAAAATTTAAGGGTGATAAAAAAAAAAAATCACACAACCGTATGTTTTGCGGTCATTGAAAATTACCGAATTCTAATCTCAGCTCCATGAAACCATTCTTAACCTGTCTTAGCTCAGTGACTATTCCAAAACCCCACCATTCTCCTTTCCCACCGAACGCCCCACCCCCATCTCCTCTCATCAAGTGACCTTGACTCCTATCTACCTCTTAGAGAACATAAGCTTTGAACTCTCAAACCTTTTACCACCCAACCTATAAATATCCATATCTATTCTCACTTCTTTTCTTCCTTTTCCAGTGCATCTCTCCTCCTGTCTACACTAGCACACTGCCTAGGATCACAGCTAGCTAGCACTTAGTTGTACTTTAAAAATGTAACAAACTAATTCTAGACTGATTCTTCCAACTCTGCTCGTCCATCGTTCCCTACATTTTGTTCCCTACATTTTCAGAGACAGATCCATCCACTATCTCCTCTCTCTCCTCTCCTACATCTTCAAACATTTCCTCTTCATTGGCTCTTTCCCTAACAGCTCATCAGTCTTTAAAGAAAAAAAAAAAACCCTACAAACCTTTTTCAGTTACTGCTTTATCCCTTTCTTTTCTTCAGAGTCAAACTTCTTTAAAGAAAAGTGTGTCTGGGGATTTTATATTAAGGAAGTACTGTCCATTTCTTTTAAGCAGGATAATAGTGCAGTTTTTGTTTTTTTTTTAAGAAAGAATCCTTAAAAAAATTTTTTTTAAGTTTATTTAAGTAATCTCTATACCCAACGTGGGGCTCGAACTCACTGCCCTGAGGTCAAGAGTCGCGCTCTCTACCAGTGGAGCCAACCGGGCACCCCAAACAGATATATATTGAAAACAATTACAGATAAAAAGATAGGATACCTGAGCTTAGCTTTAAAACAATCCAAAAATAAATAAATTAATTAATCAAAAATAAATAATCCAGTTGGGGGCAGGGGTTATAGACGAAACAAAATTGGTGATGTGCTCATTCTTCAAGCTTAGGTAATGACTACACGGGACTCATCATTCTATTTTCTTTTGTATTTGTATTATTATGGAAAAAGCAAATGTTTTTTTTCAAGTGGCTTAAGCTCACATTCCTCTTTCTCATTTTTGCAAAGTTTAGAAGTGATTTGAAGTCACCAGATCCACTGGGTACATTTCAATCTTTACCTTACTTGCCCTCTGCAAGACACATGATACTCTGGGCCATTCCTGCTTCTAACTTTCCTCTCGTTTGTCATTTGTTATGCATGCCCGCTCTGATTCTTCTCTTTCTCTGCCTCCCAATCTCTCAGTCTCATTTGTGGGCATTTCTCCCACTTGCTTTCAAACATGGTCCTCCCTCCCCTCCTCAAACACACACACACACACACACCATAAATGCTGCTGCTTCCCAAACTTATTCAAACTTTTCCTTTTTCGTTTCTATATATTCCTATGTGAGCTGACTCATTCTCTCCTTTAATTTCAACTACTTATGCACATGCAAACCTCCACCTCCAGCCCTGAACTCTCTCCTGAACTCCAGATCCAAATGCATCCTTACCTGAATATCCCACAAGAACTTTGAATGAATACTCAAAACTGAACTGGTCTTTATCTTTCACCCCATCAAAACCCTGCTCCTTTTCCTCTCGATCAATGGTTTTATTATCCTTTCAGACATCCTAGGCAGAAAACTAGGAATCATTTGTCTTAAGGTTCCAAATACGTCTAGCCCCCAACTTAAATCGTACTAATTTTATCCCTTAAATACTTCTACAATCCCTGTCTTTCCATAACTCCAACTGCTTAGTTCAGACTCTCTTCATTTTTCCACTGTATTTTTCTTCCCCTAAAACTGATTGCCCCATACCACTTTAATTTCCCCCCTCCTGGGTCTATTCTTCACACTTCAGCTGGAGTTATCTCTCTAAAATACAAACCCTGGGGCGCCTGGGTGGCTCAGTTGGTTAAGCATCCGACTTCAGCTCAGGTCATGATCTTACAGTCCATGAGTTCAAGCCCCACATCAGGCTCTGTGCTGACAGAGCAGAGCCTGGAGCCTGCTTCAGATTCTGTGTCTCCCTCTCTCTCTGCCCCTCCCCTGCTCATGCTCTGTCGCTGTCTCAAAAATAAATAAAAACATTTAAAAAAAAATTTTAAATACAAACCCAATAACACCACTACTCCATTTGAAATTCTTCAATGGTTGCCCCATGATGAAAAACAAAAACAAAAACAAAAACTTCCAAACTCTTTATCATGGTACCAAGTACTTTAATATCTGGCCTCTCCCATCACTATACTGCATTCACTCTGGAACTGGGGCATCAGAATGACCTAGGATTCTCCAAACAAAACACTCAAATATATCCTTTGCTTTTTGTTGCGCCATTTGCCTAGAATGAGTTTCCTCAACTTCCCTCCAGTGAAAGCCTACTCAACTTTCTTTAACGTGGGTCAAATGGAACATCACACTGGAAACTTCCCCTGATCTCCTTAGAGTCAGGGTATTTCTACCAATGGGTACAGAGAACAGCCATCAGTGGCTGAGATCACGACTTAGATGAGTTAGACCCACTTGGGTTGAAATCCCAGGTTCAAACCTTACCAGGTACGACTCTGGACAAAAATCTTTAAGCCTGTTTCCTCATCTCTGAATAACAGTAGTTAGGGATTTTTATGAGAATTAAATAATGGACTACATACAAAATACTGTATAGTGCCTCGCTGAGATTAGGTAATCAATAAATGTTACTGTTATATTGCGATTTATTCCCACTCTGGGCTCCTATAGCAACTTGCACCTATCTCTGTCATACCGTTACGATAACATGACTGTTTGCCCATACAGAACACATCGTCTTTTTATTCCCACTATCTGGCATAATGTCCACAACTTAACAGGTTCGTTAACAAAGCTTGAATGAATAAATAAAACACTTCCAATCCCTATAGTATTAAGGCGTCAAATTTTTTACTAACGGTCTTACTAGATTTAAGTTCCATCTCCTTGTACAAAATCGGTAATTTAAGTAAAAGTTACAGGCCAGTCTCATTTTAATGGAGGAAAATAGGAATTTTGTAGTGGCCTTATGTTGTTTACTTGTTGAAAACACACCCACAAAATAAACCCGCCGTGCTACCAAGGATTTTTCTGCATACTATATAAAATACCAAATTTCTAAGATGGTTGTCTCCCTGTTGAAAAAAATTTAAAGGTTTTCTAAATCTGTGTCAGCTTCCTTACCACCAGGACCTAAGCCAACCCTAAGGTGTATTACAGAGTTGCTGTTTCGTTTTGTTTTGTTTGGGCAATTTTCATCCTGAAAGCACGCTCCTGAGAAATTCCGAAGAATACTGAAATAACCAAAGAAAATAATTAGTACCCACTGCTAAAAAGCAAAAAAATCTATCAATCAATAAATAAATAAGAAAGAAAAGTCTGTGCTTTAAAAATTCCAGTAATTTAAAGTTAAACTAATCTTCAAACTAGAATCAAAATATGTGCAGGCAGCGGCCAAGCTAGTAAGTGGGAAGGTGGGGGTCCTCATTTTGCGATCTTAACCCTCAATAAATACAATGCAAAAGGCAAAACGGTTATGAAAAAAAAAAAGATACTACTATATAAAAGCATGGTCTCTACTTCTACACTTGACCTTTAAACATTAATGCCTTTTGAATAATAATTAATTAGGGGCTTAATATGCAAACACCTCTGAGCTACTTCAGAATAATCATGAATAAAAGCCTAGTAACCACACGTTCTCAGGAAAAGGAGAAAGGCCTGTTAAAAAAAAAAAATTTTAGTTTCTCAGGTCTCGCATCAAATGTGTGCCATACATACGGTTCGGCACCGAGAGGCAGCAACCTGGGAGGGTCAGAGGCGCCGCAGGCCCGAGGCCCTGCGGCTGGGGTGGCTGCTCATCCCTGAGACTTACGCGGGGCGGTGGCCCAGCCCAGCCGGGGTGGGGCTGAGCGCTGTCAGCCGGGGCGGGCCCAACGGCGGGCCACCCAAGTCTCACCTCCACTTCCCTTTCCCAGCGCGGAGCCCAGTTCCGCGACCACCCAAGAGCCCCCGCACCACAAAGACAGATTTTTTTTCTCGCCCGGTCCGCTCAAAGTTTATCGTTCTCTGCCAGCGGTCGGGGCCGCCGGGCTTTGTAGTTCGCCGGTCCAGGCCACCCCGCCGAGGCCGAGAGCCTGTGCAGCCGCTAAACTACAATGCCCATAATGCCCCGCGAGCCTCGCGCTCCCACTGCCCTCCTCCTCCCCTCCCGGCGCCCCAGGACCGCGGCACTGCCCTGGCGGCGGGAGACCGGGTGGGGCCGCCCACCTGAACGCCCCACCACCTGCCCTCTCCTGCCCGCGGCGCTCTCCCTCGGATTCAGTACCTAGGTGCCGCAGGTCGGCCGGCTGTGGGTGATGCGGTCCGGGTGGGGGTGGGGCACAGGCCGCCGCCGCAGCCGCCGCCGCGGAGTCCGTTAGTTTCCGACGTGCGTGAAGAGGCGGTGGCGGCGGCGTACGGTTGCCATGGCAGCCGCGGACCGAGCGGTGGGGGGCGCGCGGGGACTCCAAGACAACTCGGGGGAGGAGCCTGGGAACCCCACCCGGGTGCGGGGGAAGGGAGGCGCCCGGGTGCTTCGGGGGAAGGAGGGAGACTGTGACATTGAGGAGGGCGAGTGACTAATGACTCGGTGGGGCCGGATGAGCCCTGCTGCGGCAGCGTCCAATCGCCTTGGCATGACGCGTGTCCTGTGCCGTCGGCGGAGCGCGTTGGTGCCCGCTCTATTCCGAGAGGGTGCCTGTGGCGTCAGAGGAAGGAGCGCCTCAGCGGCTCAGCGCCGGCTCTTTAAAGGTCATCTGGTCCGGCCCCTCCCCCGCCGCCTCGCCGGGCATCGCCCGCCGCCTCTGCCGAGTGGCGGGGTGGGACCCGAAGCCACCCTGGGGCTTTTCACCGGGAAAGTCGCAGTCTCTCACACCTTTCTGCCACTCTGAGGAGTGGGCTAGAAATGAATCCGTTAGTAAAAATGTAGTGCCTACAGCCTTTAGGCTCATTCGGGAGGTTTGAGAACTTGTACGTGGCAGTGATTTCAGCTGAATTTTTGATGTGTAGTATTTCTTAGGTAACCGTTTGCGGACTCTCCAGGACCCACCTGAGAGATGCAGTGCGGTAGAAACTGAGGTCAAGCGCATGGGCTTCCGAAACCCGCTTCTGGGTTCACGTCCTGCCCCTATACTTGGTAGCTGATAACCGGGGGGGGGGGCAATTTATTTACCCCCTGTGATGCTGAAAGTTTTAATCTGCAAAATGCAGGTAATGGCCAGCTCCCAGTGCTTGTGAGAAATAAAAAGCATTAGTGCTGATGAAGCACCGTAAAACAAAGACTGGCATTTAACAATAACTTTTAAATCTTAGTTATTTAACATTTCCTGATAAGTATCAGAAGAATGGGTAGCCTGGAGGTGAGGGTGGGCCTTTTTTTTTTTTTTTT